GATGATTTTTAATTAGATTTCTTGAAGTTAGTGGTTAATTAAAATATTTTTAATTGAATAGGTTTATATTAATCGACAATTTAATTCGATAATTAATTGAAAAAGTATTTAATTAGTTACTAAATGATAAGATAATTAATTATAATTAATCGCAATTCTGCATATATCACATGTTTTATTGATTATTTGGCAGTCACTCGCGAAAGACGTGCAAAAAGACGCTCGGTTCGCTTTCAAACAAATGCGAGAGTAAAAACGAGTAACGTATGACTGGTCGTTAAGAAATCCGCGAATACTTATCCCGAGAACGCAGGAATGCCGGTGATTGCCCTGCCGAGTATCAGCGCGTGGATGTCGTTTGTGCCTGCAAACAGAAAGATACAGATTCGGGTTGAATGCGACGAGTCGTACGCTTAACTGAGAGAACGGTTGTTGCGATTTTTTTCTTTTTAATTTCTGACTCGGCCAAGCAAATGTACCTTCATAGGTATTCACGCTCTCCAAATTCATCATGTGCCTGATCACATGGTACTCGTCCGAAATCCCATTTCCGCCCAGCATGTCCCTCGCGACACGCGCGATCTCCAGCGCTTTGCTGGCTGAGTTCTTCTTTATAATGGAGATCATTTCCGGCGCGACTCTGTGGTATAAAACGTTTTTTAGTCCGCTCATTGCTTTCGAATCTGTCTCTATCGTATTATCGCTTTTTGTGACTAAACCTCGGATTTCCATTTGGAAGTATGGGAGAGTTGCCAAAATCGTACCAAATCGTGCCTAATTTTTTTTAATGTTCGTAGTATCCACAAAATAAGAGTCTGAACATTTTTTATTTACATTCCTCTCGCTCATTTATTTCTCTTTTTTTAAAGCATTATACGTTGTATATATTCGATAATAATGCAGTTTCTCAAGTCAGAGTTAGGACATTGTCCGCCATTTGTTAGCAAGTTTCTCTCACACGCACGACACTCTTAAAAATAGCGGACGATCAGTTAGGAGTTATTGTGTTTCGTCTCAACTCTGACTAGAAGAAATAAAGAAATAATTTTCTTCAAAATTATTCAAGATAAATATTCAAGACAAATTTTTCATTGTATTTATACTTCATCCCAGAGTTGTAAAAATATCAATTAAATTTACCTAAATTTAATAATTGATTTGAGTAAATAATTTTTAATTTAATTAATTGACGATTAATATAAGCCTATTCAATTAAAAATATTTTAATTAACCACTGACTTTAAGAAATCTAATTAAAAATCATTCAATTAACGAAGATTAATGATTTGAAGGAATTCAATTAAAAACTAACGATTAAAAGGAGTAAAAGTAATTAAAGATTATTCGATTAACGATTGAATATAGTCAATATAATTAAGGGTTATTTAATTGACAATTGATATAAGCAATATATATATATATATATATATATATATATATATATATATATATATATATATATATATATATATATATATAT